TGCCAGCTCTGTGCTTATTTGTTTATAATTAAAATAACCTACCTTTCAAGTCAAGTGGGGGGAAAATATGTGGGTGCTGCTGTAGCACCTGCTATTTTAAACCTTGTATCTTTTTTTTAAAAATGTGCTGCTGGATTACTTAATGCACTTTGTGTTTCAAAAGTGTCAGGAATGAAACCAGAAGGAAGAGATTGCTGACCTTTAATGTTAGCTTTGATATATTAGTACAAGTAAGCAGCTTAGAAATTTCTTATTTTTGTTAAATAATTGTGTAGCATCTTGTTGCATCCATTAGCCGAGAATCAAGATCTGTTGATTTATTTGTGCCTTGTAAGTTCATGAATGCTAGTGCACATTTGCAAATGTTTGGAAAGCAGGTTCAGCCTGCTTTTTAGTGAATGATTATAAGTGGTAGTTATTTCTAGGTGAACTGCACAGGCAATGTTTGTGTGTCCAAATTAATTTAAAGCCACTGGCAAATTGGGCCTAATAGATCAAGAAGTGAAATTAGAACGCTTCCCTCAGCCATTCCCCCCCCCCAGCTCAGCACAAAAGACTTGAAATGGGGGTGATGTGTCATGAACACAATTTTTCTAAACATCTGTCATTTAGTTTTTACTTTTTCGCTGTTACTTCTTTCTGCTTTGTTTCCTTTTTTGCTGCTAATTGGATTAAAAGCCATTTTGTATGCTATGGCATCTTCGAAGGACAGTGCTAACAATGAAGATAATGTAAGGTAAAATGTGCCCCACAGGGTAAGAGATATAGAAAGTGCTGTTTTTAAAACAAGTCTTAGCCAAATATATATCTCTTCATTTCTTTGTTTTATATACTGCTATGGTCAACAGGGATTCCCAGTGGTTAATATCAGCAAAAACATCAAAGTAAAATCAATAAATACAGTGCTCATATTCATATGTGGTACTCTAATTTCTCTGCTAGGTTTAATATAATGGATTTCCTTATCTATCAAGATGTTATGTGGAGCTTGTCAGAGATGCTCTTCATCTGTATTATATTTAATTTGATGTTGGAACCATAAGTCTATCAGAAAGACAGGAGAAGGTCCAGATTTAACTGGCTGGGATTGAACACATACTGTGGTATATTATGCTTTAGTGATAATTTTGTAAGTTCTAATAGTTTGGTAAATTATCAGGTTACTCAATTAATCAA